GGGATTAAGGCATTAGGGTACGTAGGGTTTAGGGTTTTTGTGTATTGAGGCTTCAGGCTGTTTAGGCTTTGCCGGGGGATTATAGAGGCCCTTTCCAGGGTACCTTGCTAGGCAACCCTAAAACCTAAAGTCTCACCCTAAACTCAAACCCTGAACCCGAAACTCTAATCCCTGAAGCTAATAGACCCCCCCTAAACCCTGCACCTTCTAAACCCCTTAAAGTCTACACCCTCCTAAAGTCTAAACCCCCGAGCCCCTTAGCCCCTTAGCCCCCTAAACCCCGTGAACCCCCTAAATCCCCTAAACCCCCCAAAACCGCCCAAACTCCCTAAAACCGTCAAACCCTAAACCCCCTAAACCCTAAACCCTAAACCCTAAAACCCAAACCCTAAACCCGAAACCCCAAAACCTAAAACCCAAACTCCAAAACCTAAACCCCAAACTCCAAACCCGAAACCCTGAACCCTAAACCCTCAACCCCAAACCCCTAACCCTAAACTCCAAACCCTAGACCCCACACCCTAAACCCCAAAAGCTAAACCCCAAACCCCAAACCCTACACCCTAAACCCCAAACCCTAAGCCCTAAACCCTAAACCCCAAACCCCAAACCCTATACCCTAAATCTCAAACCCTAAGCCCTAAACCGTAAACCCCAAACCCTAAACCCCAAACCCTAAACCCTAAACCCTAAAACCCCAAACCCTAAACCCCAAACCCAAAACCCTAAACTCCAAACCCTAGACCACACACCCTAAACCCCAAACCCTATACCCTAAACCCTAAACCCAAAACCCTAAAACCCTAGAAATCCTAGAGCCGGCGCCTGCCCGCCGAAAGGGCCTCAAGGCCCTGTCGCAGCGCGGCGCCGCCTGGCTTCGCCCCGAAGGGGGTTTAGGGTTTAGGGTTTAGGGTTTAGGGTTTAGGGTTTAGGGTTTAGGGTTTAGGGTTTAGGGTTTAGGGTTAAAATCTGAACCCCAGAGCCCGGGCACTCAGGTCAACCCCTCAAAACCCTACGAAACCTGTAAACCCTATAGTAGCTTAGGCTTCAGGGTGTAGAGTCTAGGGTTCAGGGCTTAGGGTTAACCAGAGAACTGGGCACCCCGCTTGGCGAGTCAAAGGTGAAGCTGGCGGGAACGACCTTCGATGGGGCCAGCTGCACCCTGGCGCTGCGGAGAATGGCTTTTTGGTTCAGGGGTACACGGAGGGACCCCAAGAAGGGACACTTAATCTTATTCCCCTATACAACCCCCATATATACTGCATCCCCGAAATGCCAAAGTAGCCACTAAATAACCCCTAAGGCCCCTTATAAGGGTCTCTCCTTTAGGCCCTTGAGTTGTGTTTTGAAAACCCTGAACGCCCCTAAGCCCTAAACCCCAAAATCTCGCCATATATCAGAGGCTTATTTGGTTGATCCTAAACTTTGCTGTTGATCCTGCGTAAACTTGTTTTTATGTACCACACAGGTCGCGAAAAATGTTGTTGGCAGATTGCCATTCTCGCTTTCAGGATGTGGCCGTGGACCCTAAACCCTAAACCCTAAACCCTCAACCCTAGACCCTAAACCCGGCGGAGTTCGCATTTGAGCGACTGCCAAAACCGGCTGGTGGTGCTAATGGACGCAACATGAGGGGTGTCGCTTTTCAAGTGTTCCCATCGCTTTACAGGGTTTTAGCGTCAGTTGTCCACGCTTGATGTCTGCAGATGTTGCTTTGGGAAAATTCAAGGCTATAGCCCACCCAACGGTTCATTAGCTTAGGGGGTGTCGCTTTTGAAGTGTTCCCATCGTTTTGCAGGGTCATTCGGGTCCAGCCCTTACTTACTTGAATGGCTGGGGGTTTTGGCGCTTGCTCATTTGGTGTGGCAGGCTGGCTGAGAGATGGGGAAATGTTGGGAGGGGGGGGGGGGGGGGGGAGGTATCGAAAAAAATCGTGCAGCCCCGCAAACGTACACAAGCCTACGTAACCGGTCCAAACACCCCGATCCCTCTAGTCCCTATATAAACCCTAAACCCTAAACCCCATAATCCTAAACCCTAAACCCGAAACCCTGAACGCCTGAACCCCTCGCTTAAGAACCCGAGTCTCCGTGAGTTGGGAAAGCACGTTGCGGAGAGTTCCTCAGCTTTATGCAGGGTTTTCCTGGTTCTAGGGTTTAGAGTATAGGGTTTATAGGGTTATAGGGTATAGGGATATAGGGTTATAGGGTTATAGGGTTATAGGGTTATAGGGTTATAGGGTTTAGGCTTTAGGATTTAGGATTATAGGGTTATATAAGGTTATATATAGGGTTATAGGGTTATAGGGTTTAGGGTTTAGGGTGTAAGAGGCAACATTCAGCGGAGGCCTCCGCCGACGCGGTCGCCGCCACTGCCGGTGCCGGGCGGCTTCCGGCACACCTTTCTCATGGGTTTCCCTACTACCCGGGTTTAGGGTTTAGGGTTTAGGGCTTTAGTAGGCTGAATTACCCCTAAATAGCCTGAATTATGGGGGGAATCTAGGCGTGGTGTTTTTTTTTTTTTTTTTGTTGGGGGGGGGGGGGGGGGGGGGGTGGGGGGGGGGGGGGGGGGGGGGGGGGGGCGGGGGGGGTAGGGGGGGGACCCATGACTCTACCTTCGATGTTTGGCAAAAGGGGGGGGGGGGGAGACAAACAAAGGGCAGGGTTTGGGATTTAGGGTTTAGGGTTTAGGATTTAGAGCTTAGGTTTCTCTTTGGGGCTTTGGGGTTAAGGGCTTGCTAAGTACCCAGTACAAGCCTAAACGCTCTGCATGTGCTTGCAGGGCAAAAATGGAGGAATTTTACTGAGTAGCTGTTGTTCATACGGAACAGGGTTTATATTACTGTTCGTGGCGAGTGCGCCTTGGGTTCCTTATAAGTATTAGTGAGCGTATACACTTGGATACTAGTAAGAGAAACCGTACTCGGCACAAGCATCTTGCAAACGGTATAGGTTTCTTTACGGGAACCAACCCACCTGAAATGTTCCTAGACGACACGCTAAGGCACGCCGACATCGACTAAGTCCTGCCGAAAGTTTCGGATTTTGGGTATACCTGAACCCCCCAAATGCCGGGTGTAATGGGTGTGAACCCGGAAGTAAAGGTATCACAAGCATTTGCATGTTAGGATTTCGAGTATCCTCATCTCTCAACCCACCGAAACTTTGGGTCCAGTCGCTACTAGTACCTCAACCACAAAGCCCCGTTTGGTTCAAGTCTCTGATACATGGGTACATGGAGCCTTCTGGATTCGCGCGCAGGAGGCTTTCGTGCATGACAGGTGCGGGGTGGTTAGGCTTACTTAGGATTTCGCGTCTGGGAGAGCATTTAGTCCCGGGTTTGGGGCCCATGGTTTAGGGTAAACCCTAAACCCTAAACCCTAAACCCTAAACCCTAAACCCTAAACCCTAAACCCTAAACCCTAAACCCTAAACCCTAAACCCTAAACCCTAAACCCTAAACCCTAAACCCTAAACCCTAAACCCGAATGAAAGCCCGACACCCGCGCGTTTTCCGGCTGAGCTCTCCGCAGCGGAAAGGCGCATGACCCCCACCTTCCGCCGAGGATCTACTAGGAGTTCGGGGCTTCCAGGGCTCAGCTCAGTAGGGTTTAGGGTTTAGGGTTTAGGGTTTAGGGTTTAGGGCTCTTGGTGGGTTTCGGTTCGAGGTGGAACTTACCGAACTTACCTACAAAACCCCGTCACGTATCCGTAGAGCCCCTTGACTGCAAGCTCATCAGGGCATCATCTCTGCGGAATTGACAACAACCATGCAAGCAAGTAGGAAACAACTCCGGGCCCTAGCTGAAAACCCTAAGAGTACCCTGGGCCCTGCTCAAAACCTTCAGGCCCTAAGGCCCTAAAACTAAACCACGAAAACAGCTAGAAGCCCTAAAACTAAACCACGAAAACAGCTAGGATTCCCCCCCCCCCCCCCGAAACCCTGAACCCGAAACGCTGACCCCTATAGACCCTAGACCCTAGACCCTAGACCCTAAACCCGAACCTAAACCCTACCACCCCCCGCCGCCCCCCCCCTCCCCCCGAGGGTCGGGCAGGTGGCGTTCGGCCCGTCCATGACAGACCAACGCGTCGTGGGCGCCAACTTCTCTGAGCTACCCTGTATAAATAATCCCCGAGGGTTTAGGGTTTATTAGGCTTTTTAGGGTTTAGGGTTTAGGGTTCAGGGTTCAAGGGTTCAGGGTAGCAGGGTTCCGGGCTGAGGTGCTTAGGCGGCTGCATGATGTTTTCGGGTTTTGGGGCTTTCAGAGGTACAGAAAACCCTAGAAAACCCTAGAACACCCTAAACCCTAAACCCTAAACCCTAAACCCTAAACGCTAAACCAAGCTTAGGGTCGAGGGCTTAGGAGCCCCTAAACACTATGTGCTCTAAGGGTTTAGGGTTTTGGGTGTAGGGCTTAGGGTTTAGGGTTTAGGGTTTAGGGTTTAGGGTTTAGGGTTTAGGGTTTAGGGTTTAGGGTTTAGGGTCTAGGGTGGGTGCGTGTTGGGGTTGCGCTCTTTCCAAGCTTGCATTCAGCATCTGAAACGCTTTAAGGGCCAGATGTCGGCGCGCCTGAAGTGGTGAAGCCTAGGAAACCTGAACCCTAAAACCCTAAATTTCTACTAGGGTTTAGGGGTTTAGGGGTTTAGGGTTTGGGGGTTTAGGGTTTAGGGTTTAGGGTTTAGGCCCCAAGACCTCAACTGAAACAGGTGCATAATGCAGGGCTTCAAATTTCTGAACCAAGCATTTTACACCCCGTTGCCCTGCAACCCTACGACAGCCCTCAACCCTAAGACATAAAAAGCGGCAGGTCGCACTTGTGAAGACAAACCTGGAAGTAGCAAAACACACATCCCTGCACATGACTTCCCTCTGTCAATGTGCAGCTTCCGCACTCATTTTTCGCGGAGGCTACGGCCTGTGGTTTCCAGCTCAAGACATCACAGTCAACTGAAACCCTAAACCCTAAACCCTAAACCCTAAACCCTAAACCCCAAACCTCAGGAGTTCACCATGACAGTGAGGGCCGGAGCAGGCAGGCCCAACTCTCCCACCGCATCATCGAGGCGCCGCTGTTCACCGGCGCTCAAGGCCAAGTCAGGAAAGGGCATGGAGGTCCAGTTCTGCCTAGGTTTAGGGTTTAGGGTTTAGGGTTTAGGGTTTAGGGTTTAGGGTTTAGGGTTTAGGGTTTAGGGTTTAGGGTTTAGGGTTTAGGGTTTAGGGTTTAGGGTTTAGGGGTTTTAAGGTTTAGGGTTTATAGGGTTTAGGGTTTGTAAGGTTTAGGGTTTAGGGTTTAAACATCCTAGATTATGATCCTGTTCCAGTAAGGGAATATATGAGATATCCCTAGATATGATCCTCTTAAACTCAACAAGGGAAAGATGTATCATGTCCCTAAGCATGATCCTCTTAAACCCAAATAAGTGGAAAGTAGAAAACTTGGCTGCGCTTAGGAGGGTAGTAAAAAATTAAACTTTTAGCTGCCTTATTAAGAAACCCAATAAACCCAAAAAAGCTAAAGATCTAAGGTTACAGCAAAGCACCACAAAGAAAACATCCCAAGGGACGACCTGGTTGCCCATCACCACATCGGAAGCACATAATGTGAAAGCCGATGAGAAAGGAGTCCCTGGTATCCTCGACCCAGGAGTAACACAAGAATGCGACAGGTGCCCTTTGTGGCTTAAAGGGGGGTTATAAGGGAACCCTAAAGCCCCCCAAAAAAGGAAATAAGGCCCTACACTCCGGGTCCAAGTATCTCTCCAGAAGAAGATCTTCGCTTGATGTGCTTGAAAAGCCCACATCAGCTTCTCTCCCCCTGGGCCCAGGGTGTAGAAGGGATTCAGCTTCGTTTGGATCCAGTCGGAAACCTCTGGAAGTTCGTCCTCCATACAACCCGCGAAATTCACCTGAGAGTTGTCCCAGTAGCCTAGAAAACTAGAGGTTACACCTTTGGGACTGGTATAGAGATTACAATACACCCTAAACCCTGAACCCTAAACCCTAAACCCTAAACCCTAAACCGTAAATCATATAAAAGGTTATCTACTCTACCAAGTCACATCCGCCGGCTGATCCGGGTGCCGCGCGTTGTAAGCTTCGATTGCCTGCCTTTTCGGGAAGGAGTATCCCAGAGAAAGGGCGCCATCTGTCATGGCGCAGACACCCTAAACCCTAAACCCTAAACCCTAAACCCTAAACCCTAAACCCCAAACCCTAGACCCTAAACCCTAGACACCTCAACAGCATGTCCACCAGGTCTCGGGCCAAGTGGCTGAAGGGCGAGACATCGTAGACCAGGAACCATATTGTAGTAAGGGTACCCCTTTTTGGGGGTTGGTTACTTTATGAGGGCACCCTAAACCCGAAACCCTAAACCCCAAACCCTAAACCCCAAACCCTAAATCCTAAACCCTAAACCCTAAATCCTAAACCCTAAACCCAGACCCGAAGGCCTTCTGCCTTCTGCTCCACGCACTGAAAACTCCGGCATGTGGAGCCAGAGCCGGCTTTTGTTTTAGTGAAAGAAGCATTGATGACCAACTTAAACCCTTCTTGTCTAGGGTTTAGGGGTTTAGGGGGTTTAGGGGGTTTAGGGGTTTAGGGGTTTAGGGGTTTAGGGGTTTAGGGGGTTTCGGGGTTTAGGGGTTTCGGGGTTTAGGGGTTTCGGGATTTAGGGGTTTAGGGGTTTAGGGGTTTAGGGTTTTGGGGTTTCGGGTTTAGGGTTCGGAATGGTCCACGCGAGTCAATCGAAACTGCAGGGTGTAAGTGAGCCACGCGCAACGTGCACTTCTGTTTGCCTTGCGGCTTAGGATCGCGAAGTGAGTTTCATGGACGGCCTTTGAACGAACCCTGCAGGCTTATGTAGGACGTCTTTTGCTTGTATGATTCGTATATTTTTTATGGTTAGAATAAACACTAAAACCCTAAAACCCTAAATCCACATTAATCTTAGACTATGCTTGCAGTGCGGGGTCTGGGTAGCTTCAGCATTTTCTGCGTCACCAGCGCTGCTTCATCCACAAAGCCACGAGCTCGTCAGCCGTCTCCGCTGTGCTGGCCCTGGCAGGGTTTTTCGGGTTTAGGGTTTAGGGTTTCAGTCAGGTTTAGGGTTTAGGGTTTAGGGTCTAGGGTTTCTAGTACTAGTACCGTGGGCTCGAGGTCGTGATCATACGAAGTACTTGTATCTCCACATTTTTTAATACATATATATATATACATATACATACAGAAGACCCTCTATATATATATATATACATATATATGTATATGTATATGTACATGTATATGTATATGTATGTGTACTGTACACACTCATCAGCACGTCATAAAAAAACAATAAGTGCACTGACCAAGAACAGAACTGCACTTGGCTGCACTCATGAGGGAAGCTATAAATTAAGCCTTCAGCTGCCTTAATAAGAAACCCAATAAACCCAAAAAAGGTAAGGATCTAAAGTTACAGTAAAGTCCCTAAACCCTAAACCCTAAACCCTAAACCCTAAACCCTAAACCCTAAACCCTAAACCCTAAACCCTAAACCCAGCAAAGTGTAAATCCTGTTTCATCAGTCAAGGCCGGAGGCATGCTCAGGAGCTCCCCGAGCTGCCCCATAATAAGCCCTCCGGACATAATCCATGGGATGGCCCTTGCAAGCCCCCTGAAAGGTTTAGGGTTTAGGGTTTAGGGTTTAGGGTTTGGGGTTTGGGGTTTGGGGTTTGGGGTTTGGGGTTTGGGGTTTGAAAAAAGCCAAAACATCCCAAGGGCCTACCTAGCCGGGGACAGCTTTAGGAGGGGGAGGCCTTAGGTCGGGTATGGAAAATTGGCGTAGAAACGGTACTTTTTCGGGGATGTGGACAATTGAAAGGGTTCTCCCGTCTAGTTAGCTGAGATTAAGAGGGTTAGAAGTTACCCTAAACCCTAAACCCTACACCCTAAGGGTTACTCTCCGTAGGAGGATTTGAAGCACTTTCGGAGTGGTTTAAGCCATCCCGGCAAGAAGCAGACAGCGACCGCAACACAAAATTCCCGAAGGAGGCCGGTTTAGGGTTTAGGATTTAGGGTTTAGGGTTTTGGCCTCTTGCCTTTACTCTCGTAATTGCTACGAGATCTGAATATGAACCTGTGGGGAAAACGGTGGAGATGCAATCATCAAGTCAGTCGGGTATGGGCGTTTCAGTTCCTCTCTCTCTTCTTCGGGCCTGATGCAACAACATGAAGAGCCCTCAACCCTAAACCCTGAACCCTAAACCCCAAACCCCAAACCCCAAACGCCAAACGCCAAACCCTCCCCCCCCTCCCCCCCCCGCCCCACCCTGCCTGCTTCTCGCTGGCGCCCCGCCGTCCTGAGCAGTCTGGCCGCTGCCTCGAGTGGGGGCTTAGGGTTTAGGGTTCAGGGTTCAGGGTTCAGGGTTTAGGGTTTAGGGTTTAGGAGTAGCCAACGGCTCTGAACATGTGCGACCCAAACCCCAAACAGGAAGGTTCAGGGGTTCTAATGGGGCACTGAACCCTAAACCCCAAGCCCCAAACCCCAATCCATTTTATAGTGTTCCGAATCATCAACTTGGAAAAGCCCTGACTGATAAAACCCTAAGTCCTAAACCCCAAGACCCGAATCCTAAACTCCCAAAACCCAAAACCCATGGACCATACTTAGCACCATCCTAAACTCTCAAAACCCAAAACCCATGGACCATACTGAGCACCATCCGTGGGCCCTTGTGCCTCCCGTCGGAGGTTGCTGGTCTGCACCGGGTCCTCACTGTCGTCGGGTCGAGCGAGTCTTGGGGATGAGGGTATTCGGGCGTAGGGCTTGATAAGTCCTACAAACCCTAAATAAACCCTACTAAGTCTACTATAAACCCCATTATAAACCCCGACCATAGACCCTATTGTAAACCCTACGATAAGCCCGATAAGCCCTATAAACCATAAACACCTTTTACCATGTTCAACCCTGAGCCTGCAGCTTCCGCCCTTTAAGGGGTAAAAAGGAGGGACCCCCTAGAAGGGTCCCTTAATCTGATTCCCCTAAACCCTAAACCCTAAACCCCCGAAATAACCGCTACATAACCCCTCTAAGGTCCCTTAGAAGGGTCCCTCCCTTGGTCCCTGGAGCCCTAAACCTAAACCCTAAACCCTAAACCCTAAACCGTCCCTTGAGCCCTGGTGTCCGGCGGCTTGTGAGGCGCCCTCCGCGCGCTCGCGGCGTCGCTGCTGCCTGGCGCCAGCTCGGGGAGGGGACAGGAAGGCAAGGAGATGGAGGGTTTAGGGTTTAGGGTTTAGGGTTTAGGGTTTAGGGTTTAGGGTTTAGGGTTTAGGGTTTAGGGTTTAGGGTTTAGGGTTTAGGGTTTAGGGTTTAGGGTTTAGGGTTTAGGGTTTAGGGTTCAAGGTTTTGGGTTTTGGATTTTGGGTTTTGGGTTTTGGGTTTTGGGTTTTGGAAGGCAAGGAGGATTACTTTAGGGTTCGGGGCTCGGGACAAGTAGACTTCAAAGCAAGAGCCCCTGTTTAGGCTTGAGGGCTTACGGGGCTCAAGAGCTAAACGTTTAGAGTATCCACCGGTTATGATCTGCAAACCCTCGCGGCTGCAGTTTGAGTGATCATGTGGCCACCCCTACACCCTAAACCCTGAACCGTCAACCCTAAACCCTAAGCCGGCCAGAACCCTGACTCTCCCAAACCCTCAACAAGAAATGCTTCCCAGAAGCGACTTCTTTGAGGGAAGCGCCGTCGAGTGCATAGTTGAACACACGGGAAGAACGACTTCCTTCTTGCATGAGATGCCCTACACCCTAAACCCTAAACCCCTAAACCCTTCAACCCTAAACCTGCAGCAGGCCCTCAGGGCCAGCGTCTCTGCCATTCTTTCCCGGCACTCGCCGTCCAAGATTCGGAATGCAAGTCTTGGGGCAGCACTTGGAAAAACTCTAAACTCTAAGCCCTATACCCTAAACCTTCAGAGAGCGACGTCCAGTAAGTCCCAACCCTTACACGAGCAACAAACCAACAATCCCCAACCCGCACAAACCCAGCAACCCCAACGGTCCTGAACTCCAGATGAGGGTTCACCCTAAACCCTAGAACCTAAACCCTAAACCTTAAACCCTACACCCTAAACCCTAAACCCTAAATCCTAAACCCTGAACCCTAAACCCTTGCCGGTTTTAGTGGCACAAAGTAAGGGAAGTAAGGCCATGAACCTCCCTCAACCCGGGTTTGGGGGCTTAGGTGTTAGGGTTCAGGGTTTAGGCTTCCACGATTTGCTTCAGAACCCCCCCCCCCCCCCCCCCAAAAAAAAAACATAAGATACCAATCCCGATGTTGCTCTTTATAAGGAAACATCGATATAAATAAAAAAATATATATATATATATTTTTTGTTTTTTTTTTTGGGGGGGGGCCTTTAAGTGCCCTAATATGATAATATGGTTATATGTAAAGTTATAAGTACAGATATAATTGGGTAATAAGTACCATGAACCTCCAAGTAGGGTACAATAAACATGCGGGAGCAACCTAGGAATCAAAAGGGTGCCCTTTTTGGTTTTAAGGGGATTATAAGGGAACCCCAACCCAAAAAAAGGGAACAAAGGCCTACTCCCGGTCCTAGTATCCCTAAACCCTAAACCCTAAACCCTAAACCCTAAACCCCAAACCCTAAACCCTATTTAGGACAATAAACACGCGGGAGCGCAGGAGCCGGACCCCGGAGGAAGGCACCGGCGCCTGCGACGGGGCCGAGGATCCGCGCAGCAGGTGATGCTTCCTACACGCCTTGTTTTGTTTTTGACACCCTAAGACCTAAACCCTAAACCCTAAACCCTAAACCCTGAACCCTGAACCCTGAACCCTGAACCCTAAACAGTTTAAAGAACATGAGGGTCCTTAGTCTTCTAGCTGGGACGGCAAAACCTCGAAAAAGGCACATGGATCGTTTGGATAGAGGCCGTTGCTCAGCTTCCGCGGGGGGGTTGATGTTTTTTTGGGGGTGGGGTTCAGGGTTTAGGGTTTAGGGTCTAGGGTTTAGGGTTTAGGGTTTAGGGTTTAGGAGGGAGAGGGATGTGTGTTGCTCGGTTCGGGCATACTACCCACGGCAAGCGGGCATATGGGGCCCCCTGAAATCTGAAGTGTTGTGAGGGCTTCCTGCAGTTTCCCAAGCGTGCCTTTCCACCCTCAACCCTCAACCTTAAATCCCTAGAAGCCCTAAATCCCAAAACCCTACTATACTAGACCCAAGAGTAACCTAGGAATAAAAGGGTGCCCTTTTTGAATTTAAACGGCTTTGTAAGGGAGCCGAAGCCCTAAAAGAAGGGATTCAGGGCCTTCTCCGGGTCCTAGCCTATTTTGATAATTTTGAGAATTCAGCGATGCGCAAATCCAACTTCCAAACTGCCAGGCGTCGGGTTAGAGTTTAAGAATTTAGGGTTCTTGGGAGTCTAGGATTAGGGGTAGTCTCCTAAACCCTAAACCCGAAACCCTGAACCCTAAACATTTCAAACCTAGGCCTCGTTGCTAGACACACCAAGAGGCCAGTAGGTTCAGAGGCCCTTAGAGTTTAGGGTTTGGGGTTTAGGGATTGGGGTTTAGGGTTTAGGGATTAGGGATTGAGGTGTAGGGTTTAGGGATTAGGGTTTGGGGTATAGGGGTTTTAGGGTTTGGGGGGAGGGTTCGGGGTTTCGGGCTTAGGGACTTTGGAAAGTGCGCAGGAAGCCCATTCTACACCGTAAACCCTTGTAACAAATAATTAAAGTCATCAACCCGAACCCATAAACCACTAGACCCTGAAGCCTGAACCGGAAAATCACCAAACCCTGAATCATAGGTCCTAACGGTTATCCCCAACCCCAAACCCTCAACCTTAATCCCCTAACCCAAAACCCAAACCCCTGAAAACAAAGCCCTTAACCCCATTTAATCCATAAACCCCAAAACCCAAACCCCTAAATACAAAACTAAACTCCAACCCAAAGCCCCTCGTGAATCCCCAAACTCCAAACCCAAAACCCTAAACCCCTAACCCAGAACCTAAAACCCTAAACTCTCAACCCCACACCCCCTAAACCCTAAACCCTAAACCCTAAACCCTAAACCCTAAACCCTAAACCCTAAACCCTAAACCCTAAGCTGTTTGGGTGTCCAGATTCCGGGCCGGCCTCGGGCACCTCAGAGTGTTCCGACAACGCCGTGGAGGCGCCCTCGGCGTGCCCCAACTTCGACAGGTTTAGGGTTTAGGGTTTAGGGTTTAGGGTTTAGGGTTTAGGGTTTAGGGTTTAGGGTTTATGACATATAGGGTTTAGGGTTTAGGGTTTATAGGAATGCTTTCAAGGGTTCCCAGAACGAAACCCCAATCACCATCCCGACATGTTTTTCAACCTTTGTGCCCCACAGCCCCAGCGGCCTGCCTCGTCGGAACTCCACAAACACAAGCTTAGGACCTTCAGCCTTGAGCCCGCAACCCTACACTCTAAACCCTCAATACTCAACCCTTAACCCTATAACAATCGCATATGCGACCTGTGTCGGAATCTTGCAAAGCCCCAGTGCGAAACTCCCCTGAACCCGAAACCGCACAACAAAAAACATCAATTCTAATGATTTTGAAGTGGATGCAGGCCAGGGTTCTTCAGGTTTGGGGTCTTCGGGTTTGCTAGCCCTAAGCCCTAAGCCCCAAGCCCCTAAGTCGCAAGCCCTTAAGCCCTAAGCTCGAGCCCAAACCCTAAACCCTAAACCCTAAACCCTAAACCCTAAACCCTAAACCCTAAACCCTAAACCCTAAACCCTAAACCCTAAACCCTAAACCCTATGCCTATTAGTCCATTATCAGGACCCGACTATCAGGGCCCACATTCGGGGCCGGGCCACTGCTTCTAACATGAAGCTTGAGGCCTCATAAAGGAGCCTTAAGAATTAAAAAAGGGCTTAGGGTTTAGGGTTTAGGGTTTAGGGTTTAGGGTTTGTGGTTTGGGGTTTAGGGTTGTTTAGGGGTTTTGGAGGTTGTTGTAGTATGATTATAAAGGGAATATTCTGAGATATTATGAGTAACTATTATTCCGACCCTATATCATTCTGCGATGAGTGGGATACGAGGGTCTGCGCTGTCTGGGACGCTGGCTCATTTTCTGTCCTCTGGCTCACGCAAAGGTGCAAAATAAACGTGATCGCCGCGCTCTCTGGCACATATCCCAGTTTTGGGACAACCAGAATAACGAGATAACTAAACGATCAACCCGAAGCCCAAAACCCTACACTCGAATGAATCCTCATGGAGCCAAAACCACAAAGGGACCTTCAGTACCTTGAGGCCTGGTGCCATTGTTTGGAATTTTAGGGTGGGTTATCTATGGCATGTTCCTTGTTTAACAGTGGTCTTAGGCCTCGGGCTTCGCTTCAACGCGCAAAGCCCGGGGCCGTATCAAAATGCGGCCCCGAAAGGCGGCCCGCCGCTCCTCAGCGACGGAAAGGGCCGCCGCCATCGCATCCTTGCGGCTTGGGGCTTAGGGCTTAGGGTTTAGGGCTTAGGCTTTAGGCTTTAGGCTTTAGGCTTTAGGCTTTACCTGGGACCCTCTTTGCCTACAGCTTTATGGGTCATGCCTACTACTTCCTACTAATTATCGAGAAATTTCTACTCAACTGTAGGTACATAGAGTCCAAGGTAGGCTTTCTGCTTTAGGGTGAAAGGGTTTAGGCTTTAGGCTTTAGGGTTTTGGGTTTAGGGTAAAAGGGTTTTTCGGGGCGCGTGAAGAATGGAGGCAATCTAGGGATCACCCTTATATACCCCATACAGTCGGACTTGCCTCCGCTTTCCCACTCCGCAAGGAACCACCGCGACAAACTCGCAGGCCCTAGGCACAGACACCAAAAAAGCGACACAAAACCCTCGAAACTTTCTGAACCCTATGATCAGCCCTAAAAACCCTCGAAACCCTACACACCCTATGAATCCTCTAAACTTTATGAACCCTATGATCAGCCCTAAAAACCCCTCGAAACCCTACACACCCTATGAATGCTGAACCCTAAACCCTAAACCCTAAACCCTGAACCCTAAACCCTAAACCCTAAACCCTGAACCCTAAACCCTAAACCCTAAACCCTAAACCCTAAACCCTAAACCCTAAATCCTACAAACTCCAAGGCCTCTGCCCTCTCCCCAACCAACCGTGCAGAAAGGCTCGGTATCTGGAAGCCCTCGACGCTAAACCCCAAGCCCTGCACACCGGTTTAGGGTTTAGGGTTTAGGGTTTAGGGTTTAGGGTTTAGGGTTTAGGGTTTAGGGTTAACTTTAAAACCCTGTAAGTCCTAAACGCTCTGCTTTCTAGACCATAGAAGCCAAAATGAGCCCGACTCTAGAACCCTATAAGCCCGACAAGCCCTATAGACCCCCCCATACACCACATACGCCCTAGACACCCTGTAAACCCTACGAACTTCCCATCTGCCTCTGCGCTCGATGCAGTGCCCACTTGTACGTAGGAGCGCTTTCGTTGTTCTGTGAGCCCCAGACGTTGGACCAGAACCATCCATGAGGCGACCGCCTGAGAAATTCCACGCAACTGGCGAGCCCAGTAGCCCAGACGTGTGCGGCGGCTCCGGGAACGAAATTGCGAGCGTTCCGATTCAAGGTGAACGCCGCCTGCCGCAATCATGATGCGGAAATGCAGATGGTGGTGCAAGTGCCAGGTACAAGTAAGAGAAGCCTCACGTAGACCAACCTGGGAACTCGATGTAAGCTTGCTGCATAGCCACCACCCCCGGACTTGGGACCGGGCTGAGTGCAGAGAGGCACCATCTCCACTTAGTAGGGTTACTGCCAAACCCTCAATTAGGCAAACCGCAAAGGCCCTGAAAGCTTAAACTCGGGCCTAAAACTTTATCAAGGGACTAAGGGAGGGACCCGTATAAGGTATATATAGGGTTCTACAGGGGAATTAATAAGATCAAGGGTCCCTTCTAGGGGTCCGTCCTTATACCCCTTTAGTTTAAACCCCAACCCTCCAAACACCAATCCCTTGAGGCTTTAGCACGTTGCAGGTCTGATGGGTGCGGAGTTTACAAAGGTTTTAGGGTTTAGGGTTCGTAGGGTCCTACCCCCCCCCCTCCCCCTCCAGCCTATTTCTGCTGAGCGATGGGCGCGTTTCTGGAAGCATTTGCCTAGCGCAGCCAGGCAGCGATGTCCTGGGAAGGTTTGGGGGTCATCGGGTTCACTGCCAGAAAGCCCGCAAGGACCAGAACCCTACGTAGGGTTTAGGGTTTAGGGTTTAGGGGGTTTAGGGTTGTATAGCCTGCAGCCGTGAGGCTGGGCGGCCAGTGAAATCATCTGGAAGTATGTTCTTCGACACCCTCAGCCCTAAACCCTAAACCCCAAACTGCGGACTTTCTGGCAGTTGGAGGCCCCGGCCCCGAAAAGCTTAGCGCCCCTGAGCGTTGGGAAACATCCGGGGATGTCAGGATTGAGGGGTTTAGAGCTTCATTAAGGTTTAGGGTTTGGGGTCTAGGGCTTAAGTTTGGGTTTTGGGTTTCGGGTTTCGGGTTTAGGGTTTTGGGTTTAGGGCTATCGGGAAAACCGAAGGCTCCTTGAAGGGGCATTTGGCCGGCGTGCCCGGGCTCTTCTGGAGGAGATATTGCTGCCTCCGTCGGGGTTTCTTAGGGTTTAGGGTTTAGGGTTTAGGGTTTAGGGTTTAGGGTTTGGGGTTTGGGGTTTGGGGTTTGGGGTTTGGGGTTTGGGGTTTAGGGTTTGCTTTTTTGGGTTTGGGATCAAGGGGCTTAGGTTGGGATGTTCCCCGTTTATACTTATACTAACAGTCCTTAATCGGGATTATCATGGGGGGGTACTATAATCCCTACCAAAGTTTACCAGCATAGCACCAAAACGGATGTAGGCTTTCAGATCTTGAAGGTAGGCGTTAGGGTCTTAAAGAGCTTTCAGCCACCCCCTTGCCCCGCACAAAAAGAACAAACCCTAAACCCTAAACCCTAAACCCTAAACCCGCAAAAACCTAAACCCTACAACAAAACAAAACGCCCCCCCCCCCCCCCCCCCAGGATGGCCGAAAAACTCAAAGTAAAGGGATGGCTATTAATTATGTATGGTCAGCTCTCGAAATTATGGTCCCTTTTTGGGTTCCCTAAGTAATGTCACCCCCCAAAAGGGGACGGCTTGGCACCTCAAGAGGAGCCCTAAACCCTGAACCCCCTCTTCTCAAAATCCAAAACCGGGCTTAGTGCTCAAGGATTTAGGGTTTAGGGTCTAGGGCTTGGGGACCCGTAAGCACATCTTCCACAAGAAGCATTTACTCGGGTTGCACGTTGATGCCCGCCTGGCGTGATCGTAGGAGGGGTAGAGATCCGCGCGGAACATGTTGATGTCCTGAGACTTCCAGGGATAAGGGGGTATGTAGGGTTTAGGGTTTAGGGTTCAGGGTTTAGGGTTTAGGGTTAGGGTTTAGGGTTTAGGGTTTAGGGTTTAGGGTTTAGGGTTTAGGGTTGGGGATTTGGGAGGAGGAATGAGGGCTGGCAAGCCCATACACAAACCCTCAAAAAACCTGAACCCCAAATCCTCAAGTCCAAAAACCCCCCAAAACCCCCAAAACCCCCAAAACCCCCAAAACCCCAAGACCCCAAAGCTCGAAAACCCTCCCCCCAACCCTGGATCAAGCAGAGCACAACAGCCAAACCAACAAAAGAACCAACACAACCCAAAGCAAGACCCCGGGCTATCAGCCAGCAACGGCCGGCATGTTAGTCTAGACCCTAAGCCGTGACTTTGTACAGGGGGCCCCAACGACACCGGGCCCAGCATGAAACGCCCAAAGCCCTGAAACCCCTAATCCCCCAAAACCCTAAAAGCCGTAAACCTCCAAAGTCCATACCCCCCCCCCCCCCCCCCCAAAAAAAAAAAAAAGAAAACGCCCCAGACCCCAAACCCGAGCTCCCCAACTCCCTCAAAAACCCAAACCCTAAACCCTAAACCCTAAACCCTAAACCCTAAACCCTGACATCTAAACTCCTAGACCTTTTGACCGACGGCTCTCAAGATGAACGCCTCTGAAACCTTCATTTCAAGCCTTCAGGGCCCCCTTTGCCCTTAAGCCTTCAGAGGGGTCTAGAGAGTGAGGCTTTAGGGTTTGGGCTTAGAGGTTGGTGCTTTGGGCTTAGGGCTTGGGGCTTAGGGTTTAGGGCTTAGGGCTCGGGGCTTAGGGTTTAGACCCTAAAGGAGCCTAAGCCCTCAAACTCTCTGACTTCAGACCCCTGAACCATGCAACCCCCAAACCCTAAACACTCACTCACCCCCACAAACTCATCACCCGACACCAAGTGGAAAAGTCTAGTAGTAACTACCCCTTGTTTCATAGGTATAACCCATAAACTATCCCAAAACCCTGAACCCGAAACCCTAAGCCCTACACCAGCTTGGCAGGTATAGGCCACGAAAGGGGTTTAGGGTTTAGGGTTTAGGGTTTAGGGTTTAGGGTTTAGGGTTTAGGGTTTAGGGTTTAGGGTTTCCGGGGCCTTCGGGGGGGCTTCATGCGCCCGGGCGGCTCCGAGCGGGCGGTGGGGCGTCTGCCCTGGGGCGAAAAGGAACTCCTTGGAGTTGAACTCTGCCTGGCTCAGCCCCCTAAACCCTAAACCCTAAACCCTAAACCCTAAACCCCAAACCCTAAACCCTAAACCCTAAACCCTATACCCTACTAACAGGGCTTGCGGGGTTTGAAGGGCTCCAGCACCATTTAGGGCCAGGGGTGGGAGCGAAGCCTGGCTGGTTAGGGTTCCAATGTTTAGGGTTGAAGCGAAGCCTGGCGGCTTGGGGTGTTTGTACAGGGGTTTAGGATTGGGATGTTCACCCTTATACTAACAGCCCTTAATTGGGAATTATACTAACAGCCCTTAATAGGAAATATACTAAACAGCCCTTAATCGGGAATCAGACTAAGGGGAACATCCCAAGTCTTGGATCTCGAGAGTTTCGGGAGCTCTGGATCCTTGGGTTTGGGATCAATGCGCCTTCAAAAAAATACCGGGTTATCTCTTGAGCTGCCGCCTGAAGAGCTTGCTGGGCGAACCCTACACCCTACACCCTAAACCCTAAACCCTTTCTGCGAGACTGTGCTCCTCAGTGGCGCGAGGCCAGTACCAGATCATGCCCTAGGCCGGTGCGGCCACCCTAAACCCTAAACCCTAACCCCTAAATCGCTGCTGGGCCCGGCCTAAAACCTAAGATGCGCCGCAGCTCTGGTGGTCAAAGGCGATTGTCGGACCAAAACATCCAAACAAAAAAATCTTGCAGGGGTTTAGGGTTCGGGTTTAGAACGGCAAGGGTGTAGGGTTGCACAGACCCTTCAAGCCAAGACCGAGCTGACCAAAACCCCTCACTCCTTAAGCCCCCTAGGCCCTTCACTCCTAAACCTTATCGACCCTGAACCCTGAACCCTGAACCCTAAACCCTAAACCCTGGACCCTGGACCCTGGACCCTGGACTCGGCCCCTAAACCCCTCTGGCCAGGCTGCGGGCTTATGGGGCTTGCAAGTCTTTCGGGTTTGCCTGGCCCCTGCAGGTGACCCGAAAGAGCATGCAGGCCAAGTACTCATTGCGGCCCCTGTAGCCCAAAGCCAAATTCCAACCCTACCAACCCCCAACAACAACCGCCCTCCCCCACGAACAAGAACTAAACCCTAAACCCTAAACCCTACTGTCCTAAACCCTAAACCCTAAAGCCTAAACCCTATAGCCCTAAACCCTAAACCCTAAACCCTAAACCCTGAACCCTAAACCCAGCCCTAAACCCGAAACCCTATAGCCCTAAACCCAAACGAGGGCCGCCTTCCCCTGGTGCCAGAGTCCGGAGCCAACGACGTTGCCCACCGTCACGGGGCTTTCGAAGTCCTAGCGCGGGGACCGCCGCCACAACGAACGACCCGATTCAGGGTTTAGGGTTTGGGGTTTAGGGTTTAGGATTTATAGGGTTTAAGGCTTGGGATTCAGGGTTTAGGGTTTAGGGTTTGGGGTTTAGGATTTGGGGTTTCGGGCTTGGGGTTGAGGGCTTAGCTTGGGGTTCAGCATTCGAGGTTCCGAGAAGAAGGTTAAACAGGATGGGCGAGAGCAGCAGTCTCTTTCAACAACGGAGAGCAAACGACAGAAAGAGGTGCTATAGGGGCCTGGATAGTGAGGGTTTAGGCTTTGGGGTTTAGGGTTTGGGGTTTAGGGTTTAGGGTCCTTTGTAATTTGGCTAGGCTTTTGCGGGGGTTTCTTCTAGTATAGGTTTTTCCGGGACCAAAAGGGCATACTATTAGTAAGTAGTCCGACCCCTATATTGCCACCTGCCACACAGGGCGCTTGAGCGCCCCCATTAGACCCTAAACGACTTTTTAAGGTTGAGGGGTTTAGCATTTACCTTACGAACGCGATACGCCTAACTGTTTGTGTAGGTTGTTCCCCTTTTTGGATTCTTAGGAAACCTACACAAAAGAAGGTAGGTTGTGGGTTCCGGGCCTAGGATTTGGGGCGCAATGTCCTGGGACAAAAGTTGCCGCTTGTGTAGCAACAAGGCTGTCGGAATGAGGAAGCCACACACTTTTTGCCGAATTGCAAACTGTGGCAACTGAACTGATATATTCCTGAACCCTAACCCTCAACCCTAAACTCTAAAACCCCGAACCCTAAAACCCGAAATCTTAAAACCCCAAGCCCCATAAACCCGAGAACTTTAGTTCTGATGATCCTATATCAACCCTAAATCACTCAGCTCAGGAGGCAGCACAAAAGAGAAGTCTGCAGCCATACCCGCACTAACCTCTGGCACGCAGAAGCCTAAAACCCTCTGAATTCCCAACGCCCTACAAATCCCCCAAAAACGCCTGAGAAGCCCCAGCAGAACCCAGTAAGCCCTGTGAAGCAAACCCTAAACCCTAAACCCTAAACCCTAAACCCTAAACCCTAAACCCTAAACCCTAAACCCTAAACCCAAGACGCGTCCTGCTTCGGGATCGTCACGGTGCCCATCTTCACCCAGGGGGCTGTGGCCTTTCCACATGCACTGTGCTTGGCACAAGTCTAGCCAACAGCCCCAAATCCAAACCCCAAAACCCCAAAACCTAACACCCAAAAATGAGAAAACTCCAAAGCCCTAAGCCCCAAACCCCAACACCCCCAAAAAAAACACAAAAGCCAGAGCCCAAAACCCCTAAACCCCTAAGCCTTGAACCTAAACCCGACGTCCATCCAGTGTGGGGTTGCAGGGTTTAGGGTTTAGGGTTTAGGGTCTGCTTCAATGTAGCTCTAGGATTTGAGGGCGTGAGGCTTGTAGAAGTTATAGAGTTAGAGGGTTCTAGGAATTCAGGGCTTTAGGGTTGTGCAGGGCTTTATGGGCTTAGGGCGGTTCAGCACCTCACGCTAGAGAGTGTAACTTAGGGGCCTTCATATTTAGAATTGGTGCTTTTTTTTTTTTTTTTTGTTTTTTTTGGGGGGTATTATACTAGAAATACATAGGGACCACAAGTGAAGAATGTTAGCAACTCTTCCGACCCCTATCTTTATGTCCAGGGCCTCGTCCCACTCCGCGTTTGCATCATTCAGGGGCTGCTTTTTGGCATCGGTGGCCACTTGGATCCTCGCAAGCGGGAATGCAGGGTTTAGGGTTTAGGGTTTAGGGTTTAGGCTGTAGGGTTTAGGGTTTAGGGTTTAGGGTCTAGGGAAAAATAAGGAAGCTTCCCAAACTCGAAGCACGGGTCCGAAACCCTAAACCTCTAAACCCCAAACCCCAAACCTGAAACCAAAAACCCTAGACACTGAACCCTAAACCCTATAAACCCCAAACCCTAGCCCTAAACCCTAAACTTTAAGGTCTCTTCCTTAGTTGAGGGGAAGGTCCCCGGAGAGCCACGGTATTGACCTAGAGGACCCAACTACACGCCCAAGAACGGTCTGGTCAAGCTTGCACTTCACCTGCATGCCAAAGACCCTACTTGGGCCCCTGAGGATGTACCCCTAAGAGGCTCCCTAAACCCTAAACCCTAAACCCTAAACCCTAAACCCTAAACCCTAAACCCTAAACCCTAAACCCTAAACCCTAAACCCTAAACCCTAAGCCCCTTATTCCTTTCGGAACCGCAAACTCAAGGGTGCAACCTTCGGGGGTCCAAGGTAGAGTCCCATGATAACTCTTAGGGTAGTTATTTTAGGGTTTAGGGTTTAGGGTTTAGGGCATGGGCCCTTCAAAGGGGACCCCTTATATAGCCCGTATATAGCCTCTACAACCCAAGGGCCCAAGGGCCCATGCATCAGAACCCTTGAAAGGAGGTTAGGGAGCACATTAAGGGCCCATAGAACTACCGAACCCTCAACCCTAGCCCTAAACCCTAAACCCTAAACCCTAAACCCCGTAAGCAGGGTAAGGGACCAAATAAAGGGCCCATGACACTACCAGAAGAAAGGCGCAATGGCTCCTTGCCTAGCATAACCCAAAACCCCAACCCTCAAACCCTAAACCTTATGAACCTCATAAACCCTATGAACCCTATAAACCCTACAAACCTTGAACCCTAAACCCTAAACCCTAAGCCCTGGAGTTCTGGAGCAAGCCGTGGCTGGCCTCGGACTTTGGGGGCCGGGCTCTAAACCCTAACTAAACCCGAAACCCTAAACCCCAAACCCTAAACCCCATAAACCCTGAACGCCCTGAACCCTGTGACTTCCCTGCAACTTGCGTGTTCAGCAAAGACGCTCAAAGCTGAAGCTGTGCCTGGGTTTAGGCGTTCCGGTGTAGGGCTGAGGGACTTTGGGGGGCTTGGGGTTTGGGGCTTGGGGTTTGGGGCTTCGGGTGTAGGGCTTAGGGTTTAGGGCTTGGGGACTTCTAGCGCCATTTTTGGACTGCTTTTTGGCTTTAGGGGTTGCTGCGAAGGTTTGATCTGGATTTTGCCTTGTGGTGGGGCTGTCTCTCCTCGGCTCCTCCAAGAGAATAGGGTACGTTTACGGTTTAGGGTTTGGGGGTTAAGGTTTAGGGTTCAGGGTCTAGGGTCTAGGGTTTAGGGTTTGGGGTTTGGGGTTTGGGGACAGAAGAATGCCCCTCGTGAAGGGGAAGAAGGGCACCAAAAGGGCCCATGTGCTGCGGGTAACGATGGCATGTGATGGTATCCCTGTGCTAAGCCCTAAACACAAAACCCTCTCGCCTATATTAGTCCCTAAACCCTAATCCCTAAACCCTAAACACGAAACACTAAACCCTAGACCCTACCACCCCCCCCCCCCCCCCCCCCCCCCCCCCCCCCCCCCCCAATAGCGCCACCCACCCAGCAAAACCTTAAACCCTAAACCGCTGGAAGTATAGGCCTTTTAGGGTTTAGGTTTAGGGTTTAGGTACAAATTAAACCGACCCACGGCCCAGTGAAGTGGCCCAACATTCCTTGATTGTGGAACCTGAAGCTACAATACGGGGCCCATATTCTGACTGACAGGGTTCTCCATATTTAAAAGCGGAAGTGGGCTCTCTGAATGAACCTCAACCCTAAACTTACCCTAAACCCTAAACCCCAAACCCCAAACCCCAAACCCTAAACCCCAAACCCCAAAACCCCAAACCCTACAGATGATGGTGGAAGCATGGATCATCACCAAGCGGCCCTTCCTTGCCGACGTGCTGTGCGGCTTGGTCCCTCATGGCCTTCTTGTAGCCTCCCGCTCCGTGCTCCCATGTGTAGGGTTTAGGGTTTAGGGTTTAGGGTTTAGGGTTCAGGGTTCAGGGTTAGGGTTTAGGGTTTCGGGTTTAGGTTTTAGGGGTTAGGGGTTTAGGGGTTCAAGGGTTTAGGATCTGGGAAAATACTTCGGGTTCCTAAGTGCTACCGTTTTTGTTTAGAATCTGGGGTTGAGGATGTGGGGTTTGGCAGGGTGTTGAGGTCTGATGGGTTTTGGGTTTCTGGATTAGTGGGTTTCGGGCGTTTAGGTGCCTTTGGAGGGTTCGGTTTGGGATTTAGGGCTTAGGGCGTAGAGCTTAGGGCTTAGGGCTGAGGGCTTAGGTTTTGGGTTTGTTGGGGTTAAAGTCGAACTGCTCGGCCATCACGTCTGTAGGTCGCTGTCAAAAGCTAAGGGTTCAGGGTTGGGGGGGATTTAGGTGTTCACGGGCTTCTGGGCTAGAGGGATTTCTAAAGGTTTGGGGCTGTACGCCCTGAACCCTAAACTCGAAACCCTAAACCCTGGCTCGGAATCCCAAACCCTAAGCCCTAAACCCCAAACCGGAGTTGCAGGTGACCCTAAACCCTAAACCCTAAACCCTAAACCCTAAACCCTAAACCCTAAACCCTAAACCCTAAACCCTAAACCCTAAGCCCTAAACCCTAAGCCCTAAGCCCTAAACCCTAAACCCTAAACCATCCGGGACTCCTTTCTCGACAATGTCCTTGTTGATGGGGAAGGGCAGTCGCAAGTCAGCCGTAGGCACGAGGCGATACCTTCAGGCGCAAACGAACCCAAGGTTCAGAGTTGAGGGTTACCCTAAACCCTAAACCCTAAACCCTAAACCCTAAACCCTAAACCCTAAACCCTAAACCCTAAACCCTAAACCCTGAACCCTAAACCCTAAGGTTTCGGGCTCTTAGGGCTTGAAAGTTGTTAGGGCTCGAGGGCTTTTAGGGTCCTTAGGATCAGCCTAGGCACGTCAAACCCTAAATCTTAACCCTAAACCCAAAACCCTAACCCCTAAACCCTGAACCCTGAACCCTAAGCTGATGAATCAGAGTATTCGTCAGGATGTGGAGGGATCCTTGCTGGGAAACAAAGGCGAAGAAAGGGTACGACTGAGCGGCTGCTGCGATCTGAACTTGTCGTTCTTATGAATCTGGGTGCTGCCTAAGCCCTAAGCCTAAAACCCTGAACTCTAAACCCTAAACCTAAAACCCCAAACTGGAATTAAACCCTAAACCTAAAACTTAAACCCTAGACCCTGAAACCTTAAAACCCCGACAAACCCAAAACCCTCATTGCAGGCAGGCGGCTTCATAGCGCCCGGCTGCTGCCCTGACACTCTGCGCGTGGAGGGCTTTGGGGTTAGGGGATGTAGGGCTTATGGATGTTTAGGGTTTTTTAAAGTTTTAGGGATGTGTAGGGTTTCGGGCTTGGGGATGTTTAGGACTTTAGGAGGTTGAGGGTGTTTAGGGCTTAGGGAGGTTTAGGGTTTAGAAGCTTGGGATGCTTTAGGGCGAGTTATCTTTTTAAGGCCCCGATCCCGAAAATCTTTCGTGGCGGATGCTCCGAAACACAGAAATGCGAAACTCAAGCTTACACCGCGTGTTCAGGTTTAAGGTTTAGGATTTAGGGTTTAGGGTTTAGGGTTTCGGGCTTAGGGTTCAGGGTCTCTATCCGCCCCCATGGCTTCTTGGCTGGAAGAGGACTGCTGGATAAGGTGCACGGCGGAGAAAAAGCTCTAAGCCTACGCAAAGCAGCGAACAAAGCCACACGCACCAAGAAATCAACCCCCCCCCCCCCCCCCCCCCTTCCTCGCCTCCCCCCGCAACCCTAAACCCTAAACCCTAAGCCCTAACCCCTAAACCCTAAACCCTAAACCCCAAACTTCTCCAGAGTCACCAGCTCCATGACCGCCGATGAGGTAAGGCGTCAGGGAGTAGTAGTCCTTGCCTTCGGCTCTTCACACCCTAAACCCTATAAACCCTAAACCCTAAACCCTAAACCCTAAACCCCCTAAACCCTAAACCCTATAAACCCTATAAACCCTATAAACCCTATAAACCCTATAAACCCTATAAACCCTATAAACCCTATAAACCCTATAAACCCTATAAACCCTAAACCCTCTAAACCCTAAAGGACTTCCATTGAGAGATAGGAGGGGCCTAGAAGGGACCCTTAATCCCACGACGCGTTAAGACCCATGCATGTATTCACTTCGTTCTATATCTAAACATAAAAGAGTATTCTGCCCTGCCGTATTCTGTCAGTGGGTGTGTACATATGTATAAATAAATAAATAAATAAATAAATATATATATATATAAGCCTAAGTGTATAAACAATGCCCTCGGAAACCGGAACCCTAAAAAAAGAGGGTTCTCCTTGAAAACCAGGTTCTTGGGAGCAAAACCCGGTTCTGGGTTTTTGGGTCCATTTGGAGCTGTTTGGAAGTTAATATCAGAGTCGTATAAATTCGCTGCAGCTGTACAAGCTTATGAAAGGAGCAGCCCGAGGCATTGTCAGAATTGCACACAGACTTGGTGCAGTAGAGGGGATGATAGCACATGGAGTACTGGAAGCAAAAACAGACCTGTGCTAAGGGGCGAAGCGCACTTCAAGAACGCTAGCGTGACACAAGGCTTTGTACCAGGCTATCGTGTTTTGAAACTTGTGAGCTGTTATAGGGGCTGGCAGATCTTAAGACGCATGTCGGCGCGGCCCTTTTCCAAGCGCACCGTTGAGGAGCTCCACTCTGCCACTGGGCCTGCACAGCTCGAGGGGACATGAGTCACCAGTGCCGCTGGCATCATGTATATACTTTCATGTTTGAAGCAGTGCGTTCATTGTCTTGCATGCTAGCGGTCTGGGATTAACATGCCGTCCTTCACATACTGCGAGTACGCAGCCTCCAAAGCACGTTGAACGGTTCTCTGCATTGTCTGTTTGGGGGAGGTCCGGCGTGATATTCGTGATGGCCTTCCGATGAAGTCCTCCTCCATCTGACAACTGTAGACGAGAGGCGACAAAACATACTCAGAAAGGTGTGCGTCGTCCCATACGTCAAAAAAAACATGGTGAAGCCGATGAAGATTTGGCATATATAGAAATAATGCTCGGTTCGCCAGGAAAGCGCGCTTCGCGCAAAGGGAATTGAACTTGAGGAAGTCAAAGCCATGGCGTGAGATTTCTTTGGCAGCTTCGCTGGGGATCCACACCTGTTGCCGGTACAACTTCGAGAAGAACAGGTTGATACTCAGCGCTGCCTTGAAGCAAACACGCAAAAATGAATCTTCAGGAATGTTGTCGCTGCGCTGCCTGCAAGCATGAAGGAACCAACGAACCAAGCAAACCGTTGTACTTCCCTTGGACCACCCCCCCGTCGGATAGTCCGTGGTGTTCTTCCAACTCAATGTTTCGCGCGTCAGTTTTCTGATGAAAGGCTGCTGGTTGTGCTCGCTGCAATACTTGAAGAAGTCCTGAACCATTGCTTCAAAACGTGCATCGATTGACCTTCCGGGGAACTCGTCGCTGAAGAGGGCCATTGCCGAAGCCATGAAGATTTTGCCAGCCCCCAAATGCCAGCCGTGAAACAAGTCCTGGCCTGGAAAGCTCATTGGTTTCGATCGGTCATGGGGTAAGAGGAAAAGCGGTGGAAATTCGGGAAACGGCAAGTGAACATGTAGCGAGCTCCTCCACCGAGGTTCTGCAGACTCAAAGTCCTCCCACGGGAAACCATCCTGATCCGCTCGACAAACGTGACAAATCCCCTTTGCCGGGTTCTTGGCAGTGGGCTGCTTTGCAGCGTTCTGGAACGATCTGTCGAAGGCAAAGGCTTTCTGTAGAAAGGGCCAGTCCCCCATCACATGGATAACTGCAAAATAATGCATTGTGCCGCAGAGCGACGGGACTCCATCCAACAACAGGTTTTTCATGTCGGCGGCCAAAACTTCGAGAACCGTTTGGAAGTTTGTTGCGCGCTCGTCATCATACATCTTGCGTGGCAAAACAGCAAGCAACCACCGCGACCCCCAAGTGTGACCGAGGAAGTTCAAGTCTTGCTGCGCGTACTCCTTGACTGAAGAGCGATGAAAGCCCGAGCCGCGTCCCAAGACACTGTGCGCGGATAGAACCATTATCGCCGTTTTTTTGCGAGATCGGCCTTCATCGCCATGAAGTAAAACTGCAGCTGTCCGCTTCAGCTGCTCGCGCGTCTTAAGTTTAAAGATGTCGTGGTTGGGGGACACCCCTCGAAACCTTTGCCAAAACAACTCCCACTGGGCCTCGCAGCGGGCGCTGTCAGGTTTCTCCAAGCCACTCATACTGTGCCACATATTCTTGCTCATGAAGAACCGGGCCCAGGATGAAAGGGGCAACAAAGGCGCCTCCTCGTCCAACATTAGCTTCTGCATGCGCACTTGCACAGGAAGAGCCAGCTTCATTTTACGGGTCAAATTGTGCAATCCCCGTTCTGCATTGCTTGTGTGGATAGCAGCCAGTGCCCCTATTGAGGTCTCCCGTGCCACTGGCAGCTCTTCAACCACTGCTCGTGCAGCGCGGACCACAGCGCTGCAAGCGACCTGAGCTGAGATTTATAGGGGTTTCACTTTGGAGCAGTTCAGGTTTGTCAGGGTTCCTTTTTGGAGGAGCTCCATTACAAACGATATGTTTATATCACTGGGCCCAGACTGTAAAAGCAACCCCCAAACCCTATAGTACTTTTTTTTGTAACCTACATGCAATGTCAGAAAACTGAACTGCTCATACTGTTGGTGCAAAGCCCCAAAGCAACCCTAAAACCCATCCTGAACCCTACCACTTAATTTGAAAAACCCTTACACGAGCACCACTTTGCAGCTCGCTTATCCTCAGAAAGGTTTCTGTCCTGACTGGAACCAGCCACAATAACATCCTACTGGCCGTAAAGCCGCAGCCGATAGCTAAGCTAAAGCCTTCTAACGACACGAAGAATCAGGAAGCCCTACACCATGTCCTAAAACCCTGCGTAGATATCCTAAACCCTAAAGAGGATTCGAACATACTCGTGCCTGCGAAACCCTGGAAGCTGCCAAACAAATCCTGAATAACTTGGAACAAACCCCGAAGAAAACAAGATCCTGGCAACAGTCCCCCTGTAAGCCTCAATGAGTCTCATCATACATGGCAATTCCCTTCTTCTGCAGACCATGGAACGCCGTCGCCTACATCCTGCACCCAGCGTCGAACTGCTGGACCAGCGCCTGGCTTTGAATTATGCGGGGCCGACCCAGTCTACATCATAGTCGCATCATGTAAACAGCCGCCTGAAGCATCCAGACGCGCGTTCCTTTTCTACGTTGCCCAGGTTCGATTGCGGAACTCCCGCTTGCAATCAGCCTGTTCCCAGGCACATCCCAGCTGACTGCTGTGGCTAAAACCACGGCAGGTCAAGACACTAGAAGCTGCATGTTCAGAGGTGTCGGGGCTCAGACATCTTTAGACCTTGTGCTAAAGTAGCAACACTCGACGGCCCCAAAGTAGCAACCTAGCAGCCTCATGCTTCAGTTCCTCGAAGTCTTGCCCTTACACGTCCGTTTAGGGGCTGCCTTGGCCGATCGTTTGGGGGTCACCTTTGGTGGGCGCTTGCCGCCCTCGTCAGTGCTAGCGTCAGCACTACCGTCAGCACGGCCGAAAAACTTCTTCGCATTCCTTACATTCGTACTATCAATGCAAGCAACCACTGTAAGACCCTCAATTAATGGTGTTCGTAGCCGAGGTTGCTGCTTGATCTGGAGCTCTGCAGCAGTTGCACGGCTGCTCCTGGGCAAGAGAAGAGAAGGTTGGGATTTCGGAATTGGTCCCCTGGCCTCGTCAGGAAACAAACTTAGCAGAACCTGGTTGTAAGGTTGCTGCACCAATGTAGCCGCCTTCATTTTCTGATTGATGTTTGTCCACCACCTTGCAGGTGACAAAAACCCTACACCAAAAATCCGTAGCAAATGCGTGCACCTTCCACAAGCATACTTGGGGTACCGGTAAGAAAAGGGCCTCGTTTACTTTCCTTCCAATACACTGATTAGGCTTGGCGGCGCCAGTTTTGGTGAGGAGGTCTCTATAGTCAATGCTGAGCAGGTTTGGATACAGAGTCTCCAGCCTGAGGGTTTAGCTATAGGGTTTATATAGGGCATACAAGGGTTTAAGGCTTCTAGGGTTGATAAGGGTTTATAGGTGTATAGAAATCTAAAAAAGACAGGGTTTATATATAGGGTACCCCAAAAGACATAACAAAAAGTGCTACCTGAGTCCAATAATACAGAAGACAATTTCCGGGCCAGCAGAAGCAGAAGCAGAAGCAGCAGCAGCAGCAGCAGCAGCAGCAGCAGCAGCAGCGGCAGCGGCAGCGGCAGCAGCGGCAGCAGGGTGTTGCAGACACCAAAGCAGCCGCAGTAGAAGTAGAATGTATACCGACATAGCACCAATCGTGTCGTAGCTATAGTTAAAGATCTAAGTATACGGGTTGGGCTAGTGAGCCCCCGGCGTTGCGCTGTAGTTCTCACTCATGCCCTTAGCCAGTTCGTCGCTGACAATGTTGTACTGATTCTCCAACTTCGCGATGTGCTCTTCCAAGGCGGACTTGGACCTCGACGGCCCGATGCACATCTCTATCTGGGACTTTGCTTGCATTAGCGTCGCAGCAGACATTGACATGTTGTCTCCAGCAAGGGCACGTGTCCGAATCAGTACCATAGTTCTTCCTCAAATCTTTTACCAAAGTTCGTAGCTTGGTGCACTTGGCTAGGATGGAGTCGAGGAATCGCTGCACCGTAGCTTGCTGCTGGCGCACATGCAGGGATACACAACTGCAAGCATCATGAAGGCAGTCCGTACCACTACTCATGCACGCGCAGGCCTCCACATTGGACTTCACCTCATCTGAGTGCATCTGATCGTCGGCCCTCTTCTTGAGGTCCTCCACGGCCTTGAAAGCGTTCGGCTCGAACTTGATCTTTCTTCGACTGCAGGCAACGAGGGATCTAGAGGGGGACTTGGTTTGAAGCGCGCATCATGGTGTGAGATTCTTAACCCATGAAGCGATAGCCTCCTGGCGGTTGGCCTCAATCTCCAATTCCGCGCGGATCTTCTCCACAGACCCTTTCTCTCTGATGCAAACCCAATACTCCAGGATACCATCGTACTGATTCGACCTGAGCTACAAGCCCTTGAAAACATATATACGCAGTCTCTACATTGCAACAGGGTCACCGTATGTGGGTGTCGGGGGTGGCTTCGCACGCCTTCTTAGCTCCGGCGATTCTGGTCCTTGGCAGGCATGCTCGCAGCACAGGGGCCTGGTAGCACCGTTCGCCAACGCAAGAGGGTTGTTTCTAAACGATCTGAGCTTGTAGCGGGCTCCATTTCAAGTCCGATTTCATTTCGGCCTCACTGTACCACCCCTCATCTCGAACGATTGTGATTTTGTTCTCCTTTTTGATGTATCGCTCCAGCTCCCCAAAGAAGACCACCTAAACTCAGGGCTTGGGTGCTCCGTAGAAGCACAGCTGCGTGACAAGCTAAAAACGAAGAAGAAATGCAGGTCTGGGTTCTTTGTCTCCATTGTTGTGCAGCAGCAGCTCTGCCATATTGTTCCTTGCAGTGGTGCCGAGGCCCCATTGCTGGTGGACGACGTCTGGGACGGCCTCCTGGGCGGTTCTGCCTTTGCGCTTCCTGGGTGTAACCATGCGGCGGATACGTGCTTTGGCAGCATCCAGCAGAAGCTCCTTAGACTGCGTCGGATATGAGGACTATCGAACATGTCAGCCAAGAACTCCTCGCGGTTTAGATATTTAGAAATTGCTGCGCGCACGCAGTGACAGCTGTAAAGCCAGATCGCTCGTCTGGTCTTCGGTTTGCGCACCTTCTTGCCATTCCCACACTTGCGAACCTTGGCAACAGGCTCCTCGTCATCCTCGTCGTCATCGTCGGTAGCAGCTTCGGGTAGCTGCTCCTGGAAGCTTTGCTTGACTTGGGTCAGGCTTTGATCTGGTGAGTTCTCTAAATGATGGTCCCTTTCTGGATCCCTACTATACTAACTAATCCAATATTTAAGGTACCTAAAAACAGGGACCATCGTTTAGAGAACTGACCATCTACATTGTCAACAGCATAGAGTGGGCTAGAACACACACGCAATCCTGCGCAGCAAGAACTTCGGCAGATGGTGGCAAACCACACGTCGATACTTCAGCATCCTCAGAGTGGCAGCAAACCTTCTCAAACAACAGGTTGGGGTTTGATTTACAGAAAGCTGCAATCTCGGAACCAGACACTGGCAGGAACTGTGTCCTCACTCGACAGGGCTGGCAGGGTCTGCAAGTGCAAGTCCTGACGCACTAAACAGACCAGCTTTTGGAACTTCAATAGAAGAAGGATCACTCGCCCGCCCGACTTGTAACCCCCCCACCTGTGGGCCAACTTCTGTAGGTCCCATGCTCTTCTGCAGTGCCTTTTTTTGAGGGGCTTGGGTACGCTGTGAAACACAACTGCACTTCCAACAAACACTTTCAGGTAAGGATCCTCTAGCTCGGCCGCGATCTGCGCTGCGTACACATCAAGTTCTTCGGGGCTGGCGGTTTCCAAGAAATCGCCGGTAACTTGGGCTGCACCTTCCCCCAGTGTTGCACAGCTCCATCGCTGCGACATGAGTCAAGATAGCCCGGGGCAGCACCAAAAAGCAAAATGCTCTACAACCTTTGGGCACACAGGAAGAGAACAGGGTGTTCAAAGCTCATACATCTCGTTGCCATGACTCGACTGCCCCCTTAAAGAGCATGCGCTTGCATTTCTCCCGTTTCTACGCAATGTGCGAATCCACACCGCGGCACGAATTTGTGAAAGCTTGGGGTTCTTCAGCTCTCAAAAGCTGAACAGATCTCTCAAAATCATGTACAGCTGCGGCTCAAAAAACCCTGCTTTGGCCCTACGGGGAATTACGGGTTCCCTACGGTTAAATACGGGTTCCCTACGGGTAAATACGGGTTCAGCTAAAAGCGGGTTTCTGGCGAAAACCAGGTTTTTGAGCGGGGAATTATGGGTTCTTACGATTTTTTATGGGTTCCCGATGGGTAAAACCAGGTTTTCGCCACAAAACCCACTTATTTCCATAGGGTTTCGCGAAAATCCGCGCTCAAACTCCCTGCGCGCGCGTTCGGGGCCTCTTCGGAGCGCGCTCCCGCCTTTCAGGTTTGGGCGCGGCCTTGACAGGGAAATGCTGTTTCCACTCAGGAGGCAGCTGAAGACTGGTTCCACCCCTAAGATACGCGTACACTTCATTCAACGCGGCGCACTGGAACAGCGCTGCTACTTCAGGAGCAGTTTCATTCAGCTGAAAAGACTGCAGGGCAGATGGCAAGGTTGGTGGCAAAGCAGGGCAGCCACGCGCCGTAGCCCGCAGATCGTTGTAGATATCGGCAATAGCGCTGGCAAATCTTTGTGGGTAATTCCTTAGTGCATGCACTGGAGGGAAGGAAACTCTTTGGGGGGCTTCTAAGAGCTATTTTGGAAACAAGCTTCTCCGTTTGCTTGAGATGCTCCGACCCACGATAAGTTTGGCGGCCGTTCTTGTGCCCGTAAACAGCTGTTTGCTTCTGCGACGGGGGAAAGTTTTGCAGCTTGCCACGGTCTAGGCGGCGGATTGCCGGGGAATTCGAAATGGCGTACTGCCTTTTGGCAGTGGCAGCTCCAAAAGCTCCCATCCACCAGCCCACACGACAGACCTGCAGAGAAACCAACAGCCACGCACCCTAAACCCTGCAAACCCTGTAAACCCTTTAACCCTATATAATTAGCCCCATAAACCCATACGTCATATAAAACCCTATATAGACCCTATAAACACTACAAACCCTATATAGATAGATAGATAGATATATATATATATATATATACCTTATAAACCCAGCCCTATAAACCCTATATAAACCCTATAAAGCCTATAAACCCTATAAATAAATAAATATATATATATATATATATATAGACCCCCTATAAACCTTTATAACCCTTTAACCCTATACACCCTATAAACCCTATAGGGTTTATATATAAACCCGATACCCATATATATGTATATATATATAGACCTATATATCCGAGAACCCTATAAACCCTAAATAAGCCCTTTAGGCCTCTATAGCTTCCCGAGCACTAGGACCCCGGCAGCAGAGATGTTCCCATGGCATTCAGCAAGCTTGGAAAGAAAATACCTCAGCGAGGGATAAAATTCCAGGGTAGAGCTTCCTGGCTGCTCCACCGCCCAGGTTCCTCCCAGAGCAGTCGCCAATGTGAGCAGGAGCGTGGTCCTGTCGTGGCAATTGATGGGGTTGAGGGTACAGATGTACACAGGACAGGTTGCAAGGTCCGACAGGAAAGGCAGTACCAACAAGGTTTATTGCTTGCAAGTGTCCGCTCTATCATTCGGTTGGCAGACGCCACTGATGGCTTTGAGCCGTCCCCCGTGCTACTGCAGGCGCTGCGGGCACTCGTCCCGCGGTTCATGGAGCACCATGAACTGCATTTCATGCCGAACCAGGCACAGAAGTTGTGCTCTTGGCATCGAAGTAAGAAGAGAACGGCCAACCTGAATTTCAGATCGCAGCTTACCACTTGAGCTTTTCAGGGAACCCACTACAGATCTATAGGATGGATGGGGGGGCACTGATTGCATTCGACTTGGGATCATTGGTCAAGATGGTGGGAGGCGAAACAAAACTATTCAGTCCAGACACGCAAAGCCCGAAACACCATTGATGTCCATGTAGTTACTGGACCCGGGTGGAATGGTGTCTGTAGGGTTGTAGAGGATATCGAAGGGGCAGCCCGGGTTCCCTCGCATCCTGACAGAAGAGGTGCACCTCCCACTCCCGGCAAAGAACTCCATCCATGTGAATGCCTCCAGAACTTGTCGCAAATCCGTGAAGCGGCAAGCTGTAGCAGCAGCTACAACAGAATCACATGGGTAAACGCTGCGCCGGGCATTTCTGGGGTCTGCTGGCGTGTGTCGCGGGCCTGGTTGAGGTCGTAGAGGCCCCCGTGGCTCGTCCAAATGACGAGTAGCACCACTGCCACAAATTCCTGAGAGCACACGCTGGCAAGTTTTACCACTTTGGGGTTCGAAGGCACTGCGTGTTCTTAAATTCTGCGAGTATCCTGCGGAGCTCCCAACGCGAACAGACGATACGTCAACTTATCGATTGAGATCATGAAGCTGGCTGAGGGCCGGCGCTTGTGGCGGCCGTTCTGACTGTTCTGCTACGTTGTCCCCAGACACTCTAGCCACAAAGCGTCAAAACATTCCGTGCAGCAGCTGTAAAGCAGGAGATATCACACACGCAGCGGCGCAAGAAGTGGAGCAATACATGCATGAGAATAACCGTGTCAGGTTGACTCCGCTGCTTGGTGATCCTGCGCCGGACTCGCCTCGTGTGAGAAACTCGAGGGCGACGAGAAGGCATGCCATGGTCGGACCTGATTTTGTTGAGTGAGACTTTACACAGTCTTGTAAAGCATGCTTCTGATACAAGTATAGATCTGCACGGAGTGTTCTGCAAAACCATCCTAGCTTTACAGTGCCTGCATGCACAGTTGACCGCGGTCTTTTCATATCGACGTCGGACAATCTTAAGCCCATGGCGGCACCCGGGTAGCTGCACCATCCCGCTAGTCAAGACTCTTCAAGACAAGTGCTCCACGCAAGAATTTGTAAACATTTTATAAATGTCACGATGAAGGAACTGCTTTCAACAAAATTTGAGAGGGTTTTCGCGGGTGTCTATGTGCAGCTATCTAGCGGGCACAGCATCGAGAGCCAGCAGCGCTCCAAAAGCATCACCCTGCACAGGGTTTCCTGTGCGCGCGCAATCCCCAGACAGACCTAAGAACAGATTGAAACTGGCGTCTGTCAATCCCTCACCAGTGCTGCGCATCTGCAGCACTTCGACTTGAAGATACTGGCTCGATCATAGCTGCTTTTCGGCTATGTGCTCCATCAGGTTTACATAAGCGTCGGGCATCATTGCCTTCAGAGCTGCCACCCTCTCAACAATCTCCGGTGTCAAAGGCCTGGCCTCCATGCCTTGCTGGAGGAGCGACTCGGTGTAGTCGGCCTTGAAGGGCAGAGCAGCTGATGACTTTAAAAGTGTAAATACCAATGCTGCTTACAGAAAAGAAAGCTCGAGTTTATTGAACCCCATGGCTGATGGAAGCTTTGAGTGGAAACCGTGTAGACAAGTGTCCAAACACACAGCAGTAGCAACGGCCACCACCAAACCCTCGGGCGTATGCTCCGAGGTGAAGGATCCCAAGGTGTGCTTCTTGCCATTTTCAACGAAGTAAACGCCACAGCCAAAACGACCCCAGTAGCAATCAAAGGCAACCGTGTCATACTTGGGCAACGTGTCTTTCAGCTCTGCCTTGACCGCGGCCTTGTCACCAGACACCAAGCTGTCGATGGACTTGGCGTAGTACAGCATGTACTGGAGGTCGTCCTCTGGGGTGGCAAGCTTGCAGACAGCATTGGCGTGGTTGGCCTGCTCTGGCTCGGCCACCTGATTCTTGGGCTTCTTTGGGGCTTTGCCTTTGGTCGCGGCAGCGCACGCAACATCATCCCGCAGGGCCTGGGCACGGGCCTTGGCTTTTGCTTTCGCCTTGCCCCGCAGCTCCTTTGTCGCACAAGCTGGCTTAGCCGGCTTAGCCTTTGGCTTCCCTTTGGCCTTTGGGGAGGCTTTGGCCTTTGGTGCCTTCGCAGGCTTCTCAGGCAACCCGGGCTGCTCCTCCTCCTCATGGATCTTGTCACGCAAGGACTCGTTTGAGGCACGCATGCTCCTCAGCTTTCGAAGTCCACGACGCTTGGTGCACCTCTTCGTGTTTCCCCCCTCGGCCTTCTTCCCCTTGCCCTTCTTCCCCTTGGCCTTATCCTTGGCTGCCCCTTTGGCCTTCTTCTCCTTGTTCACGTTCTTCTTGTTCTGCCTGAGGCCAAGCTGGGCCCGACGATCAAACACCTCGAGCAGGGAGTGACAATCAATTCGAGCGCTTGGGGTGGTTCTGAACAGTTGCAGCAAAGCAGTGCTATATAGCTCAAAAAAATTGAAGGTGACCCCACGGTTTACTGTGTACAAAATTCAGACAACTTTGGTGCAAGCCTTCTCTGGGGCTTGCTCGGCAGCACTGTCCTGGGCCACTGCAGGCGGGGCTGCTGGATCTGGCTTCTTGTCGAGGTAGCTGTCAACATCCAGTGGCTCACCAGGGGCTCTGGACTCTTCACCAACTACCCCAACCACGAAAACATTCGGAGGCATGGCAGACGATGCTGTCGAGGGCGACGGTGTCCTCGCAGCTGATGATGGGGACTGTCCGTCTTGGAAGAGAGCACGTTTTGTGCCCACCGACATGTCGCTAGGGAGTCGCTTGGGGGTCTCGGCGCAATCCTCCACCAAGTTGATGTCAACAACTTGAGTCTCCTGCTCGTCTGGGTTTACCATAGCCGAGGTTGTAGGTGCTGCAGCTCCTGGCAAAACTCAAGACACTGGGCTTGCGTTGAATGCATCGTACAACACACTGCATGAGCCCAAAATGGGGGGAGGGGGGGGGTTATGTGGAAACGTGTGCAGGCATGGTGCACAAGCTCCTGGAGCTGCATTGCACGCCGGACCTGGATTGTCGAAGCGCGCGCGCTTGGCCCGGATCCTTGGCTACACCAGCACGCTACACCCCGAAAAAAATATTTTGTGCCACCCATGGCTATATCGCTTCGATCTTGGTGCGGGATTTGGGCACCGCAAAAAAATGTTTCAGGCGCGTGCGAGCAAGTAGCTTGTCAAGCTCCTGTTGCAGAAGCATCAGTCGTTCGCGCTTCATGGTCTCAGGGTGCCCGCCTGCAAAGTTCGGACAAAAAACGTAAAGTCCTTTCTAGCGCGACACGGCGGCGCAAGCTGCGAACATGCATGACGCATGATAGAAAATCTGAGTGATGCGCAGTCACGTTTTGTTTTACACGCTTGCCTGTTGCCGGCGGCGTCACAGGTGAAGGTGTCATGATGGAAACCGTGCTGGCCAGGCTGGAGCAAGAACCTGCGCGCATTGGTCGCGCCCGCGCGGGAGGTGTAATGATGGGGGCATTGGGGCTTGGCGCTGCAGGGGCGCCTGCGTCACCTGGCATTGGGGACGGGGACGCAGTCGCATGGACTGGCTCATGCACTGGGGCAGGCAAAACAGAAGCGGGGGCCTCCGAGGCAGCTGTGCGCTCGGCTGGAGCGGGTGCTGGCGCAGGGTTTGCTGGCGGGACTGGGTCAGGTGCAGCTGGAAGGGTCACAGCGACAGGCGGCGCCATGTCATTCTCGTCTTCGTGAGCCTAATTCAAAGTAAAACACAAACCCCCTACACGCAGCCCTGCACCCCCAGCCCATCTTGACAACGAAAATTACCCGGCAATACCTGTTCCGGAATCCAAAGAACGTCCTCTGCAGGATCGGCTCCACTGGCGTCAGCCGGATCCTCTGGTTTGGACTGCGCCCGAATGGAGTCGACAAGATCCTGGAGGACGAAATGGGACATTGTGAAAGCATGGCTGCCAACAATTTGCTTGCCGACCATAGTATATCGTACCACTCACTACTAGTGATTCAACAAGCTTCCTGAAGCTCAGGGTTCAGGATGAGGCAGAGCTCCTGGAAGTCATAGTCCTTGGAAAGGTGAGTTTCATAAACTCAATAGACAAACCGAATGACATATCAAACAGGCTTGAATTGACGCGAGCAGGAAACAAAAAATTCCTAACCCAGACTAGCTACCAAGGAAACGAGTTCCTTCTGCGTCTTACGTTTCACGAAAACAACCATACGCCTGATGAACCACGCGCTGTCGTCGACACGCGTCTCCTCCACGATGCGTTGGCTGAGGTCATACACGGCTTTCACTTCCACACGGAGTGCATCCACACTGGGTAGGTGCAGATCGCAAGCCTTCATGCGTACCAACACTGGAACCAGCAACTGCATGTTGAGAACAGCAGCTCGATTGCATGGATCCTCCCCGCAATCTACATTTTCCAGATGTTTGCCACTACGCAGGCGTAAGCGGATGCTGTCCTCTGCATCCCATTCAGCTGCCAACCCTTCTGTCGAAAACTGCAGCGCCATGATGACAAAATGTCGAGGCCTCACCCTTGAAACCTTGAGCCAGGTTGCCTTGATGTGCATAAGACTCTGAAACAAGTAAACCGTGACGCGGGGCCTTTGTTTCCCACGCAACTTGTGACAAACGATCGCAAACCCAAAATACCAAATACTCAGGCAGACTTTTGCCTATCAATGAGCCAGCAAAACCCGAAAACTGCCCTAGCAACCACCCAACGAAGTAACTAGCCAAGCACCCTTGCTGTTTTGCGAATTCTCCCAGCAGGAGCTCTTGGGCTCGGACAGCACGCAGAAGTTGATCTCATCGAGGGCGAAAAAAGGTTCGAGCAAACACGCTTGCCTGATTGCCCCTGTCAAAGGGAGTAGATATTGAAGTCCTTATATCCAAGCATCTGTGACCTCAAGATCATTTTGGATGCTGGAATTACAGTCCCTGAGATTGACCAAAAAGGCCACAACACACCTTGCAATGTCATCAAACCACCCTTCTAGCTTCTAAAACTAGGGTTCTAATGTAAAACCAGGTTTTCAACCCCGAAACCTGGTTCTATCACCCGTTGTGTCTTAAAACCCGGTTCCACATCTTGAACCCGTTTTTTTTAGGGTTTCAGGCGCCCAAGGTGCAACTAAATAAACGTGTACATATACACTCTTTACACACACACACACCTGCCTTAGATAAGCCTTTGTACCTAAGACGCCTAAGCGGCCGCGAGTGTCCCCTGCCAGGGTACTGAATTCTAAAGATTTAGGGTTTGGGGTTCAGGGTGCGGTGCTCAGACTCTGAATCCAAAACGAAGCCACAACAAAGGTTCAGGGTCCCTAGCTAGATTGGCACTTTCACCCTTTGCAAAAATGCTCCTAGATCAGTTCCTCTTGAAACAAAATTATAGGGCTGAGGGTGGAGGGAGGGTTGAGATTGAGGATTTACCTGGAACTCTGTTTACCTACAGTTTCGTAGTAGCTACCCCTGAATAAGTAGGTAGAACCCATAAAGCTGTAGGTAAAGCGAGTCCCAGCTAGGGTTTAGGGTAACCCTAAACCCTAACCCCAAACCCTAAACCCTGAACCCTAAACCCTAAACCGTAAACCCTAAACCCCACAGCGGCTTGCCAGCCAAAGGGCTCACGGCCGCAAACTGCTTCGAGGGCTCCCCGTACTTCTGCGTGTCCTCCCGACAGGGCCAAAAAATCCAAGAGCTTTGCTTAGGGTTTAGGGTTTAGGGTTTAGGGTTTAGGGTTTAGGGTTTAGGGTTTAGGGTTTAGGGTTTAGGGTTTAGGGTTTAGGGTTTAGGGTTTAGGGTTTAGGGTTTAGGTTTTAGGTTTGGGGTTTGGGGTTTAGGGTTTATAGGGTTTAGGGTTACAATTGGGACTAACCGAGGACCAATTGGGGGGCCAAATGTGGACCAACCGGGGGACCAAACAGAGATCTGTACTCAACCCGAGGGGGATCATAACTTATGGGGGTTCGGCATAGTTGGGGTTTAGGGTTTAGGGTTTAGGGTTTAGGGTTGAGGGTAACTACCAGAAGCATTCCCTTAGGGTCCCTGGTTATACTATAACCCTATTCTAATTCTTAAGGCCCCTCTCTGAGGGTCTTTTGGGGCCTCTCTTTACCTAGCGTTTAACGGGTCATCCCTACTAATTAAGGGGTAGTTGCTACTGAACTGTAAGCAAATGAGTCCCAGAATGGGGGGGCCTGAGATTTTGAACCCTAAACCCTAAACCCTAAACCCTAAACCCTAAACCCTAAACCCTAAACCCTAAACCCTCTCCGTGGAGCAGCACCACCCCTCCAACGCATCTCAAAGCTCTCCGAACCGGCTGAGGGCTGCCAGGGTTGTGGCTTCAGTGTTGAAGTTTAGGACAAGGGTTTAGGGTTTAGGGTTTAGGGTTTCGGGTTTAGGGTTTAGGGTGTAGGGTGTAGGGTGTAGGGTGTAGGGTGTAGGGCCTTCAGCGCGTTCAAGGTCAGAGCCCCCATCTGGAGAGGGTACCTGATTCTTCTCTTAACGCGGTTCTTAATGCAAACAGTAGGGTTTAGGGTTTAGGGTTTAGGGTTTAGGGTTTAGGGTTTTCCAAGGCTTCCAAGGTTTCGGGCTTCTGGGGCTTCCAGGGTTTGGGGACGAGGGTCGCGAGGGCACGCGGGCTTGTAGGAGTTTCTAGAACTTGCAGAGCTTCTAGGCTTGTGGTGTTTCTAGGCTTTGTAGCACCTCTGTTTGTGTGTGTGCTGCTCATTTCTTACATGGCGTTTGTTGAGGTTTCCCTGGGGATCTAATTACCTACAGATTCGTCGTATCACCCATAAAGCTGTAGGTAAAGAGAGCCCCAGGTTTAGGGTGCTCAAGGTTCAGGTCTTCGTTCAGCTCATAGAGTGGCAAAGCCTAGAGCTTATCGGGTTGAAGCCATGATTCGGTTAGGGTTTAGGGTTTAGGGTTTAAGGTTTAGGGTTTAGGGTTTGGGGTTTGGGGTTTAGGGTTTAGGGTTTAGGGTTTAGGGCCCCAATAGCCTGAAGTCCCAAACCCAACATCCTTGTACGGGCTTCTGAGGTTGCAGGGTGTGGGGGTTTGGCCTTTTTTGCTGTTCAGTGAGCGGCCACGGCTGGGCTTCGCTGCTCTTTGAGGGTGGAGTGGCGCATTTGCCGCGCGCGTCATTGGAGGTAGTCCCGAACTGTCAATCAACTGGAGGCCATCTGGTTCCGGAGATACCCAAACCATTCTTCCATCGACATCTCGTGACTTCGGTGGGGAAGCCAGTCGAAGCCAAAAGGTAGGCTGCTGGCGGCGATTGCAATTGCCCCACAAAGGGCTTGTAGATTTGCGTGCGTGATGCCATGGATCCAGCAGGAAGACGGTGCGAGTTTTTCTGCCTTTAAACCCTAAACCCTAAGCCCTAAACCCCAAACCCAAACCCTCAACCCTAAGCCCTCAACCCTGCACCCTAACACCTAAACCCTTAGCTGGTTTAGGGTTTAATTCAGGACAGAGAAGTTGGTTGTCTGGGAGTGCCGGACGTGGTAGGCTTCGGACTTCTATCTCGTGGTGCACTCTTCACTCGAGGGGCTGGTATGAAAACCCGGAAGGGCGACCCTCCGGAACATAGAACCCCAAAGTTTCTCGGACGTCTTTCTCGTGGCCCACTTTGTTCTTGAGGTTCCATACTATATCTCTTTTACGACTCCTAAAACCTTAAAACCCTAAACCCTAAACCCGAAACCGAAAACCCTAAAATCCAAAAATCCTAAAACCCTGAAACCCTAAAACCCTGAAACACTAAAACCCTAAAACCCTACATGCATCAAACCCTAAACGCCTAAAACCCTAAACCCCTAAACCATTGATAGCCGTACAGCCCTAAACCCTAAACCCTAAACCCTAAACCCTAAACCCTAAACCCTAAACCCTAAACCCTAAACCCTAAACCTCTGGAACCCCAACCGACAGAACCCAGGCGCTTCGCCAGAGCCGCCAGCTTCCCTGGGCTTCAGGAGGAGACCCCAGAAGCCAGCAGAAGGCTGAAAGACAGATTCGGGTTTAGGGTTTAGGGTTTAGGGTTTAGGGTTTAGGGTTTAGGGTTTAGGGTTTAGGGTTTAGGGTTTAGGGTTTAGGGTTTCGGGTTTCAGGGTTTAGGGTTAGTCTAGGGGGTTTCTGGGTTTAGGGCTCTACTGAAGTCTGATGTCCAGGGCTGAAGATTTACATCCGGCTGCAGGTCGGGCATTTCGCGGAGAAACGAGTGCAGGCTTGCTTAGGGTTTAGGGTTTAGGGTTTAGGGTTTAGGGTTTAGGGTTTAGGGTTTAGGGTTTAGGGTTTAGGGTTTAGGGTTTAGGGTTTAGGGTTTAGGGTTTAGGGTTTAGGGTTTAGGGTTTAGGGTGGGTTTAGGGTTTAGGGTTTAGGGTTTAGGGTTTAGGGTTTAGGGTTTAGGGTTTAGGGTTTAGGGTTTAGGGTTTAGGGTTTAGGGTTTAGGGTTTAGGGTCCGCCGACCCTGGCGGCGTGTTGGATGGGAAAAGGAGGCGGTGGTGCGAAAAGCACGAAAACCTCGTAAAAACCATGGTTTTTACGAAAAACCGAGGCCACAAAACACCCGCAGCACCCCATTAAACCCTCACGGGCGCGCATCATCGGCCCTAGCTTTTCACATGGGGCGCGCGCCAGGCCGAAACCGGGGGTACCGGAAGCCCAAAACCAGGCGAGCATCATGAGCATCAGCAGCCCTGGCCCGCGGCCCCAAGGCAGCAAAAAACGCTGAAAAACGCTGAAATCACCGGAAATACCGTGTTTTTATGAGGTTTTGCACGCGTGCCTCCGACCCCCACCCCTGTTGCCCTTGACCCGCCCCCAAAGTGCGCATCATCGAAACCCACGTCCGGGGGGGGGGTCTGCTGATGCTGCTGATGCGCGGGGGTCGGGGCGCATCATCGAGCCATCGTTTCTCATTGGCTTCGTGGGCCTCCGGGGCCGACGGCCCAGAGACCCAGCTGATGCTCATGATGCTCGTTTTGGGGGGGGGGGGTTCCAACAGCAGAAAACCTCGTAAATACCGAGTGTTTTGTGGGTCCACGTAAAAAAGGCCCCTAAAATCGCTCATTCTACGCGCTCGAACGGCTTCGTGCCTACAAAACACCCGAACAGCAGGACCCCGAATGCCCTTACGGGCATTCGGGGTCTTGCTTTTGGGGGCTTGGTGGGCACGCAAGCGTTCAAGCACATACAATCGGCGTGTTTAAGGGGGTTTTGGATGGCCTGGGGGAGGCCGCTGATGCTCATGATGCTCCCTTTCCTGGGTCCCAAAAGGCTTCCCAAGCCCAAAAACACGTGTTTACAGCGTTTTCTGAAGGTTTTTCGAAGGCAAAACGCATGCATAGAATGCTTTTAAGGCCCCCAAACCAACCCCACTGATGCTCCTGATGCGGGTGCGCGCGCGCGCGCGCGGCGCGCGCGCGCGGAGGGGGGGGGAGGAGGGGGGGCGAAGGCAGGAGAAAGAGAGACAGAGAGAAGGAGAGGACAAAGA